TTTTTTTAGGTTTATCTTGCTAATCATTTAAATCTAGAATTTTGTTGCTAAAACTTTCTTATGTTTCGAACTAGGTGTCTAACTATTTGTCAATTTCAAATCTATTTGTAGCATTTTTATGTTCTGGATCTAGTACTTAGTTAAGAACTTAAGAATGAGGGATATTCCTTGATCCAGTGTGGGAGTTCTTTGGGTCCTATGGTTTTAGCTATTCTTGTGTTAAAGAATTGTTAGAGATAGCTGTAAACAAATATGTCTCAATTTGGTGTTTATGGAAGATGGAAAGGTACCATTTATATATCACGCTGGAAGTAACAAATTCTAGTTTCTCTAAAACTTTATGGGGGAATTTTCAATGCAAACAATTTCTAATGAGTTTAGCTCACCATATTTGAGTAGAGGTTTGCTCTCTACATGTGGATAGAGTGGTTTGCATGTGCTCAATGTAGTCAGGTTGTAGATCTAAACTAATTTTGGCTATGTTAGATTTAGTTATTAGAAAAAGCTAACAATATAGTTTCTAAATGGTACAAACAGCTGTTTAAAAAGCTATTGGATGATAAAATTAGGTAAACTGAATTATATTAATAAAATTTTATGTCTCATGTTTTCTTATTAAGTTGCCATCAATTCCCTCAACCAGTAGCTCAATTAGTAATCTTTGTTTGTTTTTCTAAGTTTTTTGTTTGGTATTTCATCACCATGTTTACTAGGCAACTGACGAGTGTGAGTTATCTTTGCTTCTTTTTTCTATTAGACAATTAAGAATAGCCATAAACAAATCTTTGTCCCAATTTGGTGTTTATGGAATATGGAAAGGTAACATTGCTTATAATCTTCCATTAAACCATAAGTGTCCTTTACAAATGTAAGATTTGTTAATTTCATTGCATTATATTTATTTTAATAGATAATTATGTTCGATATTGTTTATTTTCTCTTCTTAGGTCCTCTCTATTGTTGAAATTTTACAAGATGAAGTGGATCCAATGGTGTTAGTTATGAAGGTTGAAAAGACTCCATTGAAGTCTTATATTGATATAGGTGGTTTAGATGCCCAGATTCAAGAGGAAAGAGGCAGTTTGCAATTTAACTACTTTTGACTTATCATAAATGTTATGAAGACATTGGTATTAAGCCTCCTAAGGGTGTCATATTGTATACATATTTTATGTGGCTTAATTTAACAAATCATCAACTAACTTTCATATTTTTTTCAGTTTCATCTATTATCTTTGGATTCTTCCAAACCTATCTACTATCTTTCATATTCATTTCAATTTCGTCTAGTTAGTTATCTTTGATGGAAAACTTCCTATTCTATTGAAGAATAGTTAGTCCTCTAACTATATTTATTTTGATCTTTTAGTCCTCAAATTTATATTTGCTGTAAAAATAGCTTTTATACTTAAAACTATTGTTTCTTGCCTCTGATACTAGATTTTTCTATAGGTTTTAAGAACTTAACTCAAACTACTACTGATTAATCAATAGCTAGTATGTTAAGCTCAGTAAGTGCAGAATTAGATTTACTAGACTACTAACAAAGATAATCTTTGCTTGGCCTTTTTTAATCTTTTTAGATCTTCATTTAAATCTATAACTGTTTGCTTCAACTTTTTGAGATTCTTAGATAGATGATAATCATCTTCAATATTACTTATTTTTTCTAAAATTTTTACTATTTTATTTCTATAATATTCACATTGCAGCTCATAAACTATCTTATCTACAACAATTTCTTGAATAAAATCAAGCATCTTAAATTATAATGGTTTAATATAAAATAGATTTTTCTATTCAAAAAATAAGAGGTCAAGTACTATTTCCCCATTTTTTCTCATCTCAAAAATGATTTAATGTTAAAGAATAATAAAACTGTTACTATGCCCGACTTGCTTCCACATGATAAAATAAATGAGTTAGAATTTTACGTGAAAATCCTTTGGACTAGCCTTCAGTCAAGCAAATGCTTCCTTCGTCCAACCCTCAATGCCAAACTCAGGTTATAATGGGTATCTAGACAGAACAAGTGACTTCACTGTTGCCTCAGTTTCTTTAGGATTCTTCTCATTTTATTTTATGATAGAAATAAAGAAGGAGAGAAACACAAGAATTATTCTAAAACATAATTTTATTTCTGAGAAAAGAAAGGGAAAGTTCCCTTTCCTCTTGAAGGGTGTTTACAGATGTATAGTAGAAGGCTTTCAGGTAAGGTATTTGGATATTCAAATGCCTGATACTGCTTACAGCTTATAGGAGGCTTTTTATAGTGCTCCTTAGAATCTTTTCTTTCATCATTGCTGACGATTAAAGTTTACATTATTGTCTGGTGATCCAGACTTACTTCTTGCTTTTGCTAAAGTAGATTACATGGAATCTTGCAGACACTCCTCTTTTTCTTTAGTGACGTAAGCACTTATATCTTTTTGCATTGGATTCTTCAGATGATGATGAGATCTTCTTCATTGTCTGAGGAGTTGGTCCCTTCATCACATGGGGCTTTAGCTTTTCCTTTTGTAGATTCTTTTTTTGTAGCAGAAACCACAATGGCTGTCATGCTTTAACAGCTTGCATAGTCTATTATGGACTGCTTTACTAGTTGGAACCATATTTTCAATGATTTCCTTTCTTTTTTGCTTTATTTTGAACTGGCTAATGGTTGTCATTGATCTTGCACTAGTGGATACCATTGAGATTTCTTTGGAGAAGCCATATGTCCGTGTCTTCCTCATCTCTGTCATTCTATCAAAGGTCTAGAGTAAAACCTTGAATCCTAGAGCTTGTCTCTCTTGGATGAACTCGATCCCACAAAGAGACTCTTCAAAGTCTTGAAAAATTTGATCTTCATTTGCTTCTACCTTGACTTTCTTGGACTGGATTCCAATTTGGACTATATGATGAATGGGGAAATATTGAGATTTCTCCCATTCTGGTGCTACAAAATAGATTTTGACAAATACTACCCCTTGAGTTTTGGTGCTAGTTTTGAAGTCTTTTACTCCTCGGCGTATAACTTCTAGAAGTTCTAAAACTTTTTCATTATCCTTTGAGTGATAAATACAGTATACAAAACCATAACTAAATAACTCTTTTTTTGCTTTTGGGTTTGCAACTTGCATGAAATTAATTATGGGTTAAATCCCTTCATGGATAGGATGGCAATTCTCAGTGGACCTCATTAAATATGCCATTTAACAAACTCTATAGTATTCTTGCAGATATTCTTCACTCATTGTCATTTTTTACAAGGTGTCTATTATTGCAGCTTTCTTTTCTTTCTTTCCTAAGTAATCAGGTCGAAAGTTATGGCTTGCAGCATTTTGAATAGTTGGCTTTTCAGCTTGAGATGCTGATGTTTTTGAGGGAGAGTATTTGACATAATAGTCGAACTTCCCTGAACTTTCTCCAAGTAATCCTACTGAAGGATCACCTTGTTCAAAATTTTCTTTTAGCTCTTGTTGGGAGCTTTTCTTTGCCATCTGGCTAGATTCTTTAGAGCTGATGCTGACAGTAGTAATTACTCTGAAACTTATTAATTTTTCTATTAGCTCTTTGACCTCTTCAAGGGCATCTTGTCCCTTATTTAATAACTCATGGCCTCTAATAATTTTTTCTTGGCCTTCATCCATAAGGTTATGGCCTTCATCAATTATTTCTTGGCTTTCAATCATTTTTTCTTGGCCTTCTCTTATTTGGCTATTGCCCTCAATGAGTATCTCTTGACCTTTAAGAATAAGGTCTTTCCCTTTATTTTGGAGTTTTAGGATTGCATCTATTAGCTCCTTCTCTGCTCAAGAAATCTGCAAGACAATTATTAGTTCCTTTAACATGTTCAATTTCAAAATAATATTTAGCAAAGAAAGTCTGCCATCTATTTAGTCTTTTATATTCTGGTCTTAAAGGTAATTTATTAAAAATAAATCCCTTAACTTGAGTATTGTCAGTTTTGACCTTAAAATGTTTTGGTAATAAGAAAAAATTGAACTTTTTTATTCCATTTTTAATAGCCAATAACTCTTTATGATTTGAATGATAACTAGTTTCTACATTTTTAAATGTACAACTAGCATATTTACAAACTTTTTCTTGAGAATTTTTTAAAGCTGCTCCCCAATAAAAATCTGGGCATCACATTTTAAAATTAACTCTTCATCTTCTTTAGGCAATTGTAACCTAGGAAGGTTTTTGCAATATTCTTTTATTCTTTTATTCTTTTCACATGATTTGTGTGATAAATTTCTCATTGTTGATTTTCATTTTTCCTGAGCAACTTTTGCAAAGGATGTTTTAATTGAGCTAGGTTTTGAATAAACTACTCTGCATAATTGAGTATCCCTAAAAACCTTTGAATTTGTTCTTTAGATTCTAATTTATTTGGGAACATCGAAATCTTTTCACTAATGTAAGGTTGTAATTCTATTCACATGGAATCTATTGATAATCCAATGAATTCAATTTTGGCTTTTCCTATTTCTGCTTTCTTTTCAGAAAGTAATATTCCACGTTTCTTGCATAAATATGCAAATTTCTTAATATGACATAAATGTTCTTTGTCATTATCAGAGAAGATTAGTATGTCATCTGCATAAATTATGTAAAATTTCTTGATGGAAGAAAATACATTATCCATCCTTCTTTGAAATATTTGAGATGCATTTTTTAATCCAAAAGGCATTACTAACCACTCATAGTGCCCTGTAGGGGCACTAAAGGCTGTTAGGGGGATACTGTTAGAAGTTAGTTTAATTTGCTAAAATCTTGATTTGCAATCAAATTTTAAACTTTAAATACATTTTCTTTCCCCTAATGCTATTGATTAGAGTTTCTTTATGTGGTAAAAAGTTTTTTTTTTTTAACAGCAAATAATGATATTTATTGATAAATGGAGTATAAGGGGTACCCCGAACCCTTAAACATCAATAGATGAGAGACATAAATGTACAAGAGTGGGCTAACCTTGCTCGATAGTGTCGACACCCACATAAAGTGTCGACACTATACCTGTGTCGAATTTATGTCCTCCTTTACAGATTTACAAAACTCCTTGTTCTGAGCATCAAAAAGCTTCCACTTTTCAAATCCACTGACACTCAAAATCGTTGAGCATGTATTTACTACAGCTTAACTAACATGCTACAGTAAAATACTTGCTCAAGCCTTCATGCCCTAGACAAATTTCATCTTGCACTCCGTTCTGCAGTGTAGCCTTCTTTTTGTTGTTTATGAAACAATTTCATTGCTTGTTTGTGGCTTCTCATTGACAGTGCACATGCTACAGGATTAACCTTCCATTCATTAAATGAAAAGGCACAACCATTTACCTTATTCTTGATCCATAAAAATGATTTGGCTTGAATCATATCTAGTAATCTTCCCCTGTTGATAGCTTCATTGTCAAATACCTTACCATTTCTCCAATACCATAAATACCATGATACAGCAAGAAAGATACAAGCACCCATCTCCTTCCCTACTACCCTACCCAAATCGTATACAAAAATGTCTGTTACTCCTCGTACGGTATTTGGCATTACTGTCTTCATGTTCCACCACTGCAGCACCTCTGTCCACAAAATCCATGCTTCCTTACACATACTAAATAAATGGTTAGCCTCCTCAATCATGTTATGGCACAAAACACACATTAATTCCTTTTCCTGTAAATGCACTCCTTGCTTTCTAATGTTCCACTTAGTTGGAAGCTTATCAAGACATAAACGCCATCCAAAGAAAGACACTTTGGATGGTACTAATCTACACCAAATCACCTTACACAACTGATCCTCTAAGATACCCTCCGAAGGGGCCAAAAATTCATAAGCCTTCTTCACCATATAACTACCATCTGGATCATGAAGCCACCTCCAACGATCTTCAACACCCTTCTTTAATTGCAAATTACCCAACTTCTCCCACAACACCTCCTCCTCATCCTTCTCTCGTCCTATTCTCTCCCTCCTCCATTCTAGTTTCCAACTCCAATTTTCCTTTTCCCATACCCCCATTTCACAAATATTACCCTCCTTATTCATAGACAGTGCATACAGCCTTGGGTATAGATCCCTTAAATTTTTCCCCCCTATCCACCACTCTCTCCAAAAACCCGCCCGATTTCCTTCACCCACTTCCCATCTAAACCCCTCTACCAACATACTCTGTAGTCCCATCGATCGCCCTCCTATACTAATAATATCTCTCCAAAGCTTAGATACTCTCCAATTCCCAATAGCCTTAATATCCACCTCCTTCCATTTGCCTTCATAATATTTTTCTGTTAGTACCCTTTTCCACAGGCTCTCTACCCCATCCCCAAATCTGTGCCACCATTTCCCCAATAGTGCCCAATTTTTCCTACGCAAATCCTGCACCCCCAAGCCCCCTTTTACCCTACTGCGACATACATGTTCCCATTTCACCCATGAAATCTTCTTTTCTAACTCCCCCCCTCCCCATAAAAAAGTTCTTTGAATGCGAATTAACTCAATTACCACAGAATTTGGCATAAAAAATAATGACATATAAAAAATGGGTAGAGCAGAAAGTACCGAGTTAAGCAAAGTGAGGCGGCCACCGAAGGACAGCGAAGCAGCTTTCCAGACAGCAAGTTTAGCACGAAATTTTTTTATCACCGGTTCCCATAGTTTCCTATTCCCTGGATTTCCATCAACAGGCATTCCCAGATAAATAAAAGGTGATTTTCCAACTCCACATCGCAACATACTTGCTGATCCTTCAAGCCATCTCGTTGGAACATTATATCCATAAATGCTGCTCTTGCTGAAATTAATTTGTAGACCCGACATCAGTTGAAACCATCGCAGAATTGTTTTAACCATGAGTATATTCTCTATGTCAGCCTTTCCCATAATAATCGAATTTAGTTTTGCTATTAAGTTGTTTATAGTTGACAACCATTCTAGCTTTTCCTCTTTTTAATTCATTATGATTTCTTACCATAAAGGCAGGACTACTATGCGTACTCTTAGAGGCCTATATAATTTTCTCGGCCATTAACTCTTGAATTTGCTTATCAAATTCCTCTTTATCTTCAGGGCTATGCCTCATTGGTTTGATTCTAATGATAGTTTTTGGGTCTATCAATTCGATTGTGGAATAAGTTTTATCAACTCCCCATAGTTTTGTAGAATCTTCTCCATAATTACTTCTTAATTTTTTTTAGATAGATTCTAAAGTTATTTTTTCTTATGTTTTTTTATTATTCCACAATGTTAACACTAGTTTTTTAACCTTTTTTGATCAAGTTTTTGCATTATCTTCACCACGTTAGCTGCGAAAATTTAATGGTTCTATTGCTCTAGTATAAGCATTATAAATTCTGGAGGCGTAAAGTCAATGGCCACAAGGTGTATAAAATTTTACATATGATGCAGTTTGAACATACTGCTTGAATTAACTTAGGAAATTGTTTCTTAATAGATTATCATTCCCATGTTCGTTACTTTCATAGACTTGAGGAATTATAACTTTAGTTCCACCAATTATGATAGTAACTCTTTCTATTATTATTTTATATTGAATAATACTTCCATCTATAGCTACACCTTTCATACTTTGAGAGATGTTCTTCCAATAATATTTTGAAAATACATTGGTTTTGGCTAAACATATCCTAGACCCTGTATCTATAAAAGCATAAAAGAATTCTGTTTTGTATTCTTCATATTTGATTACAATGGATTTGTAATAAAAAAACCTTACATGAGGAGTAATCATTTGCTTTGCCCAGGATTTCTCAGCAATTAATTGATAATGTCATAACAGGACTTTTTTCCATCGATCTCCAATGGTTTTAAAATAATTCTGATGAAAGCTGATCCCGGAGAAGATAACAGACAATCTTCTCCTGCTTGACCCATTGTTATTATTCATAGCTCGAAGTAAATAGGGAGGATCTTGTTGGATGGACTTGTTAGACAAACCCACAGCGGCAGAATATACCCTGCAACAAGAATGGGTTACATGATTCAGTGACAAATGCTAATGCATTGATTGTGCCAATTACCCGAAACAACCTCACAAAAAAAAAAAAAAAAAAAAAAAAAAA